AAAACGGCGAAGGAGAATATAATTGTCTGATAGAACGAAGAAGGAAATATATGCAAAATTAACTATAGAACATGAAACATATCCTACCAACGGTTAGTAAAGAATAGAAGAAAAAAAAACGAGAGAGAGGTTATACGAATGGCAAATGGTCGTTGTCTCGATCAACTGAGTATGCCATATTTGGGAGGAACATTTGGGTTAGGATTTCATCTTGCTATTACTTTTCTTTCTCTATATTATCTATGTCTACACATGTACAGAACGAATTTACACAGAAAAATACCGATATATCTCAGAAGCTTCTGATATCTGCTTTTTTTCTTTTATAGCTATCTGCGATACATATTTCTGTGAAAGAAATTGTATAGTAACAGTGATGGTATCGTTCGTTCGTTCGTTCGTTCTATTCTATTTTTCTCTGTTTATTACATCTACATACACGCCCTATATTCAACACGATGCATATTTACACAATATCTTTCTTCTCGTCTAAAGGGTGATGCTGGCAACAATCATTTTCTACAGACAGATCTGTGAGAGATGTTATGTATGATATTGATTGTTTTGTTTTTTAGAGATATGGAATAGTTCCCAATAGAGAGCAAGAAGAAAAAAAAAGAGAGATCAAGAAAACAATTGTGTTGTCTCTGTATTCTTTAGATAGAAGGAAAAGTTTGAGCAAGTAGGTAGTCTATCCTCGTAGTCTTTTGATTTAAATAGGTGCAATTAGAGCATAGAGTTCATTGAATAAAATTTATTGTAGGTAGAGAATATTTGTATATTTTCGATAGAAAAATTTCATAATCGAACCATGCCGTTCAAACCTCCTGAAGTAGTCAAATGTCCAAAATGTAACCAAAATGTCTATGCAGCCGAAGAAGTTCCAGCAGCTGGCAAAAAATTTCACAAAATGTGCTTTAAATGCGGTACATACATATATATTTTACACGAGAGAAAAACAAAATCACCTTTATCACATGACATCTATTCACCTTAGTATTTCCTTTTCAATCAATTTCTATTTTCACAAAATTCTATTTAAACCCATGTTCCTGCTTGATTCCATTAGGCTTATCGTCCCTTTCAGATGCCATTCTCAGTTCAAATTGTTCGTTGTCCAAAATGTAATCAGCCTGTTTATCACGCTGAAGAAGTACAAGCAGCGGGTAAAAAATGGCACAAAACATGTTTTAAATGTGGTAAGGCGTCGATCTTATGCTATACCTTTTCTTTCCTTAATATATTATTTTTCTTTTTATTCTTGTGATTATTCATAAAATGATTTAATTCTTTTTGTTTGTTTTTCTGAAAACAAAACTAGGTTTATGCAAAAAAATGCTTGAATCAACAACACTTGCCGAACATGAAGGCAATTTATTCTGTAAACAATGTTATGCTCGTAAATTTGTAAGTAAATTTTATTGATATGATTACTATTCTACGAAATAATTCTTTGAATTAAAGGGTCCAAAAGGTGTTGGCTTTGGCGGTGGAGCAGGTGCTCTTGGTATGGATACTGGTGAACATCTTGGAAATGTATCTGGTTCAGAAATGTCGTAAGAATAATAGATTTTTTTTTTCTGTCGAATTTTTTAATGTAAAATTTCATAATAGAAACAAACCAACTTATGCTCCACCACCTGGTGCTGGTCAACAACACTAAACTAAATTAATAATCATGATTTAATAGACATGTTTCGAAATATATATTTATGGTTTTTTTTTTTTGCATCTTTTATTTTTTCTTTTAATTTTATATGCTATTCAAGATGAGTGTGACTAAAATTCTAATCATTATTTATCGTATATAAAATACTTTATTTCAGATTTTATTATTTTTATTAATTTCTAATTCGTAATTTGTAATTGAATCATGCCATTCAAACCACCAGAAACTTCCAAATGTAAGTTCATTAAAAAAAAAAAAAAGAAAAGCAAAATATTTTCCTTTTAAAAACACTTAACTTTTATTTTTTTTTTTCTATAGGCCCAAAATGCAATCAAAGTGTCTATGCTGCTGAAGAAGTTCCAGCCGCTGGAAAAAAATGGCACAAGATGTGCTTCAAATGTGGTATGTTGAATAATTAAAATATGATTTTTAATATAGATTGATGAAATTATATGTTTTAATAAAAGGTCTTTGTAAGAAAATGTTAGAAGCTATGACCCTGGCTGAACATGAAGGTAATATTTATTGTAAACAATGTTACGGACGTAAATTTGGGTAAGTTTTCAAAAAGTAACAAAGAATAAAGACAATAAAATTTATTTTTAGACCGAAAGGTTATGGTTTCGGACAAGGAGCTGGTACATTAGGTATGGATACTGGTGAACATTTGGGAAACAAGAGTGGATCTGAGATGACGTAAATATTTAATTTTTTTTTTGTTGATTGATTAATTAATTAAAAATCTTTTATTTTTTATAATAGAAACAGACCAAATTATGCTGCACCACCCGGTGTTTCTCAACAAGAATAAATGAAATTGATTATAGTTTAACATCCAAGTCCGTTTTCTCTCATGTATTAACAAAGAAACAAAATGTTTTTATCTTTCATTGATTTCAAGATATGATTACCTTTAGTAAAAGCCTTTCTTTGAAAAACCTGTTTGTTTTTTCTATAATCTTCCCTTCCTCTTCTTTTCATTTGTCAATTTTGATATTCATAATGCGAGATTTTAATTCTATATCGGTTTATTGAAGAAAAAAAACATAAGGGAGGAAAAAACAAACAACAGCAATAACAATGCAAACGAAGTAATTATGTTAAATGGGTGTTCTCGCTCTCGCTCTTTCTTTCTAGATACTTTTGATAAATTAGATTACTAATACGTTTTTCTGTCTCTTTTTTTCTTTGCACTTCTTTTTTTTTCCAATCTTTTCATGTTCAAGTGTTGCTGATGCTACCTTTGTCATCAATTAAACTTTTTTTTAAAGTATATAAACACATATTGGACTGCGTGCACTGTATAATAAGTTTTCTTTTTTTTTTCGAACATGATAAAGTATGACCTTTTTTTTCAACACTATATTGTTTGTTCGATAATTATCGGTGTGCATATGCTTGTATATCATCGACATAAATAAGCAAATGCATGCCGACATTCTTTCATATCCCATAGAAATAATAATCACTGGGAAAAAGAGATCTGTCTGGCCCATTCCCATCTATTTACATGGATAAGACTGATAACAGTTGATGTCAACAACAATAACAGCTTTATATTAGGTTTTTTTTCTCCCCATCATTCATCCAATCGATGGCAGTTTCATAACAGAAGAAAAATATTAGTAGATATAGTCTTAGTTAGTTGAATAGACAAGAAAAACAAAACAAAAAGAAGAAAAACAAGATGAGAGAATGTGAATACAAAAGGTTAAATAAAATAATAAACACAAAAATAAATCTACACATATATGTATACATTTCTAAGTTGTTATGAAATGTTTGTTTTTAATTAAAAAAAATAATCAGTCATATGAGTAGAACTTTTGTGATGAGACATTGATGAACGTAAACAAACATGTTCATGTTGTGAAAAAGCAAAATATGACGAATGATTTTGTTCTTGAGGAAAATTATAAGAAGATTCACTATAACTATTGGTTGGTACTAAACTTAATGGTGGTATAAATTGTTCTTGATTAGAATATGATGATTGATTCTAAATTTCAAAAATAAATATTATTTTTTTTTTAAAAGATAAAATTACGTTATAATTTGGATATGGATCATGAAATTTAGGCAGAATTGACATAAGTGGTACTGGTTGAGGTGGAAGAGATTTCTTCAAGAATAAATTTAAATATAATTTATAAAAAAAAAAAAGAAAAAATTTTATATACGTCTTCAATAATTTCATGTAGAGCTTGTTGAACTAGATTAATAAAAGTTGATTCTTGTGAATTATTTTGATCAAATTCATTTGAAAACTAGATTAAAAAATAAATTGTTTTTTTTTTCTATTCCTCATAAAATAATAATTTTTATTCAAGATTAAATTTACATTATAATTCTGTATATTATTTTGTTCAACAAATTTTTCATGCAAACGTTTTCGTCTACGTCGATTCTTTCGTTTGCTTTTAATTATCGATGTTTGTTCAGGTTTCTTTATTGACATTTTATTCATAATTGATAAAGATGATGCTACTTGAGTATGAGACATCATTGATTGATATGATGGTAATATAGTAGAAGGTCGTATAACTGGTGTAAATCCATTAACAAGGACTAAATCTTGTTTAGGTCGAAGTATAGTTGTTTCACCATTTCGACGTATAATCATTTCATGATTTTTAAAACGACCTTCATTTGAAATATTTGATGATGTATGAATATATTGTCGTGTTGTATTTTCTAATGGATCTGTTGAATGATCAACAAATAATTCCGATAATGGATAATCAAAAAATTTCGTATATTTTGATGTTTTACCAATAATATTAAAAGGAAGATTAGTCTAAAAGAAAGAAAAAGATTTGAATAGATTGATTAAAAAAAAAAATTTTTTTTATAATCTTACAATCATCATTTTTTCATCATGTCGATTAATATTATTAAGTCGTTTAACTTTATGAAAATGTGAACGATGTTTTCGTTGATTAATATAAGACATTTTTCAAAAAGGAAACTTAAAATATTGTTTAATACCAATGTATATTCGTTTATCTTTTTGATTCTTTTAAATCAATCGATATCTATCTATAAAGAGAAAGAGAAGATTTCAAATAAACAAAAAGCGCCATCTTTATAATCGATTTAAAACATAAAATCAATTAATTTCGTTTCTAAGAAAAGCGCGAGTACAACAAAAATTCTCTATTTTCTAATACAAAATCAACATAAACGGTTATCGAATTTATTCTTGAATAGCCTATTTAAAAAATTACGTTTCTTATTTTTTTTTTCCTCATTTTCCATAATAATGATTATTAAACAAGAATAATAATAATAATTGAAAATAAATTTTTATATTGACAATCAAGAAAAAATCATGAAATATGATAATGAACAAACTAAAAATAATAAATTAATTATTTTACAACGATCATCTCAAAAGAAAAAAAATCATTAGTAAAACTTTTTATTGTTTTTTTAGAATAAAAAAAAATCATTAAATTATTCTTTTTTAATCATTCAGTTTAGATAATAATAATAATAATAATAATAATATTGATTGTTTAACAGATAGTTTTATTACTATATACAAAAGTTCTATATGGTGTATAAAATTCATATATGAACTTTTTTTTATAACACTTTGGCAAGTTTTATTATTTGCTAAAGATGAAATACATTATGATCGAAATGATTTTATGAAAACTAATAATAGTTTAGATGTTATGTCTCTTAATAATTCTGCAAAAGAAAATTCTTCTGAAAAAATCTATCGAAAACTGCCACGTCATCATTTATCAATGATTGAAACAAATAATCAAGAAAAATATCATAATCAATTATTGAAAAGTAATTCACGGTAGATTAAAATAATTTTTATTTGATAGATTTTTGATTTTGTTTTTTTTTTTTTATTATCTAAATTTTTAGTGAAAAAATATCATCAAATATAAATTTACTTTCAAATAAAACACGTATAACTGTTCGTTCAATATCAAATCAAAATTTAAATCGAGCACAATCAAATCATACATCTTCAATTGAACAAAAAAATCTAAATAATACTTTAGGAGTACTTAATTCACATATTATTGTAGCACCTGTACATTCATCACATTGTCAAAATATGACAACAAAAAATAATTTACGTGATCAATTAACTGATAGACTTTGTCGTCATTCATATGAACCATTAAGATGTATGAATCATAGAATGTTTTATGAACATTATCGACCATTATTCTTTTCGCATGGACATTGTCATCGTTCAGAACATTATTTTCCACCATCTATACCACAAAAACAATTAAATAATGAAAGAGAGTTTTCTCAAAAATCGAAACAATCTCCACAAATCGAAGAAATAAGTGAAAGTCAACCTACTCCATATTCAGGCATGTCTTTCAAATGAATTTTGTTTTCTTTGATTTTGCTTTTTTTGTTTTTTTTTATCTTTAATGATAATTTCATATGTTAGATATCAGAACTGATATCATATTGTCATACTACTAATATATCTGGTTATCATAAGAAGAAATAATTCGAGATAAAAGCTTGTCAACACAATTTCTTTAGAGCGAAAATATGGTACCCACATGTGTTCTTTAGTCTCAATATGCTAATACAAAAAGATATAATAAGTGAAAAACCTATAGTAGACTACAGTTGTTCTCCAAGGATAATCGGTCACCGGAGACACGATCTGTCTTATGTATTTCTACATTTCGAATAGAATTTTTCTTACTGGCTCTCTAGTGTTTGTTTGCCTTCTAGCAATTTGTTCGTTGTTTTTTTTTAGTGTAGATTTATTATTATTATGCTAATCATGGATTTAATTGGCAAAGAAGTCTGTTGTACATATTCATTGTACCTACAACAGATCTTGATGTACTATTATATATCTTGATAAGTTTAGAAAGACTGATATTGATTGTTTCCCCGATGTTATAACTTAACTAATTCACATGTTTTATGTTGACCATATGACGACTTGCGCCAAATCAATGCATTATTACCTATTATCTTTGACATCTTGCATATAAATCTTTTTATCAGCGCAGAAATCTGAAACTGCACTATTTAGAACATTCACAGATATTTCAGTCATTCAAACGTCGACAAAAGCTTTTTTGAATGTTCTAAAACAGTCCAAACCTTGTCGTTAGTGCCGCTCAGGGTCTTTTTTCGTTGCTATGGAAACTTACTGAATGATCTCTGGTCCTGGTGAGGGAAGAACAGCAGACTTCATGATACCTCAAAAGGCTTTCCTTCAGACCCCGATTGGTTTGTAGGTGGAGAAGAGGATGGAGGAAAATCGTAAAACCTCGACTTAAAACTTATACTCAGTGTTTTCCGAGAAGGTAAACAGTAGGGACTTCAGTCTAGAAGTCTCGTGAAGTATATTGAAGTCTCATGAAATCTGCTGTTTTCCTTTCGCTACTTTCCTGCAAAAATATATGTGAATTTCACAAAACTGTATTGAAAACTATGAATAACTACTGACAAATGTATGACATGCATCGTTATAGTGAATCAAAGTTGTTTTTTCTTTCATTTTGACATCATTACATTGAAAAAATCATAATAAAATAATGATTATTCTTCGTTTATTCTACTTAGTATCTCCGAGTATTCAATCTCATTTAACAAATTCACCAGAAGATGAACCATTATCGACTGGTACTATTTTACATAATGAAAATAATGAACAAAATCATTCTATATTATCATTTCCTGATCATGATTCATCTCCATCACAAGTATCAGAACAATTAATTGATAATAATAATCAATTGAAATTAGACGCACAAATACTTGTTGATGATTCAATTCAAAATGCACAAGAAAAATATCAACGAGTATAGAAATTAAATTTTGATCCTTATTTTAATTTGTCAATTATTTTTATAGATATTACGAACGAGTATTGATCAAGATCCACAAAACATTACATTGTATATTTTATTTTTTCTTGTTGTTTCTACATAAAAATCTTGAACTATGACATTTACTATAGAGATACAGTTAAACAAATAACTCCTAATAAACCAAAATCAGTAGTTATATCGGATGAATCAAATACACAACAATTATCCAATGACAATACATTGTGTCAAGAACTTTGTAATAAACTCAATCTATCAGATTCTAATCAAATTACTGAAATTATTCATATACTTGCGTTAAATGCACCACATATTCTCAAAGAACACTATTCAAATAAAAATATTTTAAGTAGTAATTTAAATGCAAACGAAGGTCTTTATAAAAAAAAAAATAAAATATCATTTGATATATTATTTTATTTTCATATGTTTATTTCTTATAGAAAATGAAAATACTTTATATAAACAATTATTACTTCATCCACCATTTAAACCAAAGCGATTGATTCATTTATGTCCCGATGGAAGTATTCAAGTCTTATCAGCTGTTGATGATAATTCAAATGAAAATCAACTAATTCATCAACAAAAATATCATCTCAATTATTCAAATTCAGCTTTAACACCATCAATGCAACAAAATCATATTCTTACAGGTAAATTCTTTAAATATATTTTTTTTTCTCACAAGACTCTTCTGAAACAAAAAATATTTTGTTTATATATTTATAAATTTTCGATTTTCTTTTTTTTGCTTATAGATGAATCTTCTCTTCCTTTGGAATATGAAACAACAGCGACAACTACACTTGATTTAAAAACTAATTCACAATCTCATTCAAAAAATGAAATTCATTTTGATCATTTAATTATAGATAATAATTCAATATTATCTCTTCAACAAAAAAAGACAATATTTAAATATGATAGTTCATCAGGATGCTCATCAACACATGCGAATGAAGTTCAACTTAATAATAATCATACAAAAATCATTTCTCAAGATAGTGATCCAATAGTAATGATTAATCTTGATCTTCAAGATGAAATAATGGAAATAAATAATAGAGATGATGAAAATTCTTTACCAGAACTTTTTTTCAAACGCATTATTGCACATGAAAGTAAGCGTCTATTTATAAATGAATATAATTAATCGATTATATATTGTCAACTAGATTCTATAACTTCTTTAACTGAACTTTCGAATCAATGTATGACGATGGAAAATGATGCAGCATTTTTTAAACATCATGAAAATCACAAGAAATCTCGCTACAATCGTTCACAATCTTGTAAAAACAAAAAAACAACCTTTATAGAGACATACTAAGAAATTAGAACAAGAAAATATCGAATTCTCAATCTTTTTTTTGTTGTTTTACTTGCCAGAAAAATTTTGTCAATAAAGCAAAAAAAAAATCAATATTCATTATTATCTATATATAGCAATAATTCTTTCTAATGATTAAAAAATATTATAGATGTAGATATGTGAGTATTTCTCTAAACGTTATGATTCTTTCAGAATATTTTCCTAGTATTGTCATATTCTTCACTCAAATTCAAAAAATTATATAATATTTCAAGATAACTTGTTTCATCGATTTGATTAAGGAAATAATGCTCGAAACGTTTTAATTCTTTATCTTTATCTTTACTCAAAGTGAGTTTAACAAACCAAACATTATCCAATACTTCTTCAATCGATTCAATTTTAAAGATTATTCCAATTGAAAACAATATTTCACCTTCATCTTTCATAATACCGACTTGTTGAATATTCGCAAATGGTATAATTGCTTTTTTGATGTTCACTTCTATTTCAAATACAATCGATTCAATAAATGAATGACTAGAACCATTTACAGCGTAATCACTAGCTACTGCTCATGATTTTGTTGTTGATAAATACATATTCATCGATACACATCCACCAATATTGTTCTTTAACTTGTGTAATTCGCTTGGAACTATTAGTTGACTGCGATAAACGATGAATATTGGCGATGTATGATCAAATTGTGATCTAAATAATTCTTGCAATTGATTTTGCAGATTCATAAGAAAGAAACGAAGATTATATAGTGCATCAATATTTTGTATTCTACATACTTTATTTAGTTGACGAAATACAAAGCATTCGTGTGTATATCATTTGATTGCATTTATTGATACGTAATTTTCCTGAAAATCATCTATTTTCTTCAATTCAACTGACTTATCTGCATAAAACAATTTACATTCTGCAATCATTTCATCTATTGCACTTTTCGTTTGCGGCATTCGGAGTAATATTTCAATTAATAAATTCAACCACATTCGCAATGGATTTTCTGTTTTTAAATCTTTCACTGAGTTTTCTTTCTTATCTGTTGTAAACACTCAAATGTATTACGATATTAGAATAACCTATGACATCGTTCGTCAGATGAATAATCAAAGTTTCCATCTGTGGGTAAGTGTCATGTATCTTTGGATGTCTCTTTTGTATTTTTTGTTCTTGTGCCTTGTCCATTGATCCATATATATATAAACAAATTGTATTTCTGGCAACTCATCGATATATAGTAGTATGTCTTTAATAAAAGAAGATGATACGATAAAAAATATGTTCTCTTCTTGAAGCAGACAGATGTCACTTAAGCATATAATAAGATTTTTAAATGTTTTTACACGAATAACAATTGTACGCAATCGAGATATTGATTCAACATCCTCATCGTCAGTAGATTCAAGCCAAATGATAATAGAGTCATTTAGATTTTCTTTTTCTTCTAATACAACATTAGATAAATCATTCATCATTTGTTCATCATCAATTCCATCAAACGGAAAAAATAGTGAATCATTTTGTTATGATTTGTGTGACGATTTCTTTTGGTTAATTTTGTTTGACTTGTGCGATGTATTCTTTCGCGATAATGATCGTTTATGAGTCGTCGCTGTTCTACTTATTTTGTTTTCAGGCGCTTGAGATAAATTTCTAGCTGTTGTTCGATGGAGAATACGTGAAACAGTATTCTTTTGTGCCATGCTATCAGTAGAACTAATAATGAGTGCTAAAAAGACAATGACGCAAAACTTATTATTAGATTTTCTACGATAAATAATTTTTTCATAAAATATGTAAGATTTTTCATCAAATGGTTTTCTTTTCTTTATTAACATGTCTGACGCACATCATGTGAATGCAAAAAAACATGTCCGACTGAGAGAGTCATGTTTTGAAGAAATGGAATGGAAGTTTAAGATCAAAATGAAGAGAACTTATCGACTTTGGTTAGGTTCGCTTAAAATTTTTAACGGTCGATTCATGGCTAAGTTGTGATGAGAGAGACTGCTAAACAAAAAGTCCGTTTTCTCTGTTTTGTTTCACATGTTGGAATTTTTCACCTCTCTACAGCTTCCTTACTTCGCCATTCTGTAAGAAAAGTGAACGAAAGTAAAAGAAAGTAGAAGAAAGAATATAGGATAGAACAGAGGAAACATAACAGCAAGAGGCAATATGCTAGGTTGATTCGAA